GCCCCAGGCCACGCTGGACGTAGCAGTCCCAGGCCACGCTGGACGTAGCAGTCCCAGGCCACGCTGTACGTAGCAGTCCCAGGCCACGCTGGACGTAGCAGTCCCAGGCTACGTCATCGTTGCTTGATGCAGAAATTCTAGCAAAATCTTGGCCACAAAGATGGTGGATAGCAAGCAGGCACAAAATTTTTCATAATTGTAATGCATCTACCCGTATATATATACATTTTCATGAACAATTAACACATATTAAAATAACAGTTAAAAACAAGATCTTAATGCAAGCGCAACATTAACCTATGAGGCGAAAATTGATATTAATAATAATTATAGCGACAAATGACATATTGAGATTTAAAATTATTAATTTATAAATGATTTAAAAGTCCCTCAGCATAGTCTAAATTATATTGCATATTAAAAATGAACATGAATCAAGACATCGAATTAATATGAGTATTCTGAATAGAATGAATAAGAGTATATTGCATAGTATGAATATGAACATCCTGAATGAAATGAATATGAGCATTATGAATAGTATGAATACAAATATTCTGAATAAAATGAATACAAGTATGAATCCTCCATGGTATGAAATCCTGCATAGTATGAATACAAGACAGTGACTTTAAAGACACAATAGTAGACACAATAGTAGTCGATGTCGAACAAGAACAAATTCATTTTCTTTCATTCATTTTGTATCATTAATTTCAATTCATTTATTGTTTTAACGCAACTTGATTGCGATAATGTATGTAAATGAATGGATCATACTGTGCAAATAATGACACAGATGTTGCACGTATCGCTGATACGCCATCTAGTAAGGCTAAACTGAGTCAGGATGACCCACACTAGGGTGGCGGGGCATGAATGGAGGTAGGAGGAGCCATGGCAGTAGGTGGAGCATGAATGGAGGTAGGAGGAGCCATGGCAGTGGGCGAGGCGTGAATGGAAGTAGGAGGAGCTATGGCAGTGGGCGGGGCATGTATGGGAGTAGGAGGAGCCATGGGCGTGGATAAGGATTCAATGGGCGGAGCATGGATTGGGCTTTGTGAAATATAGAGCGGAGTCTCACAAAAAGTAGGAGCATAGGTGGCAGGACCTGAGGCTTGTATTACAGAAGATGTCACTGGAACGGAGGTGATAGGAGTTAACATTGTAGTTGGGGAAGTTAAAATTGAAGAATGATTTGCAGAAGTAGAACTGATTGAAGTTTGGTCTGAGGAGGCTGGCGGAGCCACAAGATGCGGGAGCGTCACTTGCTGTGCAAGTGCCAGATGCGCGAGAAAGCCATTGCTATTGTTGTTATTGTGTGACACCATAACTCCTGGGTCACCAAGGCTGGCGCCCTGCCCGCTGGAGGAGCTAGGAAACAATAGGACCCTTCCCATAGGGTTGAGTGATTCATGATGATGGTGATTTGCAAAAGATGATGCTTGAATGATGTTCATGTTTGAAGATTGTGCCTCGAATTGTACTTGCAAAGAATGGTAAGATCTAGCAACTGAGGCGGAGTTGCCATATGCCACCGAATTGACAACTGCAGGAGAGTTGCCACATGCCACCATACCAGCACGAGCAGGGGTACCAAGCATGCTGTTACTGCCAGAGCTGCTAACAGACGTCATGCCATTTCGATCTATATTTGCAGAAGTATTAGCATTAGTGAGATTAGAATATTTCGTTATCTTATAAACACTTAGAGTGGACGCGCTTTGTTGTTTCTTGGAAACTCTTTTCGTCTTTTGAGGTTTTTCTTGGCAGTTTTTTGTCTTTTTAGTTTTTCGGGCAGACACGACTGAAGAATTTAGAGGGACGGTTGCGTGAGGTGTGATGGTGAGGGGAGTTCTTATTGAATCTTCTGGCTTTGATTCTTGAACTTTCAAAGAATTTGCTGGTTCAACTACTATTTTATGAGAGGTAACTAAATTATAAACAAATTCTGGGGCAACATAACCAGACGAGGAATTTTGTGCAGCTAACCCTTCTTGAACAATATTGTGATTATGTGAACCTTTAATACTTGGTTCTGAGTTATCCGAATTGTTCTGTTCTAAAGCAATACTTTTGTCACTAGGATCCAAATGTTGTTCAATGTTCTGATTTACTGCGTGTGTTTCATGGATAGTCGAAGCATTTGCAATATTATTTTCATCTCGAGATCTTCGGGAGTTTGTCGGTTCATCTGTACCGTCTTTGACATGAGCGTCAGAAGCTGCCGTCAACCTGAGCTCAGTTTTCATTTCCGATGTATCAGTGCAAAATTTCGATTCCAAATTGAGGTTATTTTCAGGCTTTGGAGCTGCAGGAGTGTTGGGATCATCACAAACCTCTGTATTTTTGTGGTCTTGTAACGTTGGGTCTTCCGACACAAGGTCTTCCTCAGTATCAATTCTTGAAATTCGTTTCCGTTTTCTACGTTTTTTCGGGGCCGCAGGACCGGGTTTCGAGTGCTGGTTTTGAAGATGACTTTCCAGTTTGGTTTTCGCGGAGGTCGAGAAATCGCATAAAGTACAGGAGAAACCAGCTCGAGCTACCACACTCGAAGCTTCGTGCCTTTGTAAGTGTTTGTGAAAGGTTGTTTGGCACTCGACTGTGTATGAGCACTGCAAACAAACGTACGAGTTCTCTTTAGTGTGTTTAACCATATGGCGTTTCAGAGAAGCAAGCGCGTCTGTTGAGTATTCACAATGATCACAAACATATTTCCCATCGTCTTTTTTGTCTTGGAACAATCGGTATCGAAGAGACTTCTTGTTACAAAGTTTTTCATCTTTAACGTGGGTGTCAAGATGTCGTTTGAAAGTCCCTTTCCTCGGAGACGTATACTCACAGTATGGACACCGATGTAAAGACACTTCTGTGTGTTTTGTCACGACGTGTCGGTCGTAAAAACCTTTCCATGTGGACTTGTAGGGACAGTGAGGACACATGTAGGCCCCCACACGGGTGTGGGTGTTCATATGTCGCCGTAGGGTACCCTGATATCCTGTGGTAAAAGGACAATGTGGACAAGATAAAAGCTCTTTTCCGGAATGCGACGATACGTGGACACGGAGTTCATTCTTCTCCGGAGTCGTGAATGGACAATGTTTGCAGCCAAAAATTTTGGGTGACGAACTTTTAGTAGAAATTCCTTTACGAGAGCAGAGATTACTTTTAATGTTGTTATTTGAAAAACAGTTTACGTGTTCAGATTTTTGTGAGAAAGAACAACTGGGAATATGTGACAATGTAGTGTCATTGTTATCATGATTTACTGACATATTCCTGCTTTCATTTCGATGAACATTACCATGTTCAGTAATGGTTACGGTACCATCAGGATGTCTTGTGGCATCACTGCTAGTAACGTTAACCGTCATGTTTTCGTTATTGGTGCAGGCATCAACATTGCATGGGTTGTAGGCTACATTTGCAGCCGCGTTAACAACATTTGTATCATTTTGACCAACTTCATAGAGGTTGTCAGGATTAGAAGCAACATTGGGGTTGTTACCGGAACCCATTAGAGCTTGAAGTTGTGTTTGTTTTGGCAAATTATTATTTATGTGGGTAGTACCATTGACCGCAACTTGCTCTTGTTGTTGAGGTTGGAACATTGGTACGAGCTCTGGTACTTGTCTTGGAGGTACCAAATGTTGTTGGTATTGCTGTTGTTGTTGGTGGTGGTGAAGATGATGGTGATCTGAATCACCCAGTAAGGGGTGAGGAAGATATGCTTGGTTCACATTGTGTGCGTGGATGAGGTCTGGCTTCATGGGAACGTTGTTGGTCCATCGTTGAGATGAGATGTTTTGAGTATCCATTTCTTCAGCGTGGGTGTTTAAATGGAATTTAAAAAGTCCTTTTAGAGGCGTGCTATAAGAACAATGGTTACAGTGGAACTGCTTTGAAGAAGATGCATGTTTGTTTGAGTGTTCCTTGAGAGCCTCTGGGTCATCAGTCGTGAAACTACAACCAGTTTCTGAGCAATTGAGTTTTGATATGGACTTATTTCCTTGCACATCTCGTTCATGTTTTAATAAATGATTTTTAAGAGAACGTTTGCTGGTTCCAATGTAACTACACATAGAGCATGAGAAGGATTTCTTATCAGGATGTTTAGATGAAATATGTCTCTCGTAAAATCCCTTCCAAGGACTCGTATAGGGACAGTATGGACAAGTGTATGCGGTATCCTTAGCATGTTTCAGCATGTGTTTTCTGAAGCCAGCTATATAAGCAGTGACATAATCACAATGTTCACATTTATGTACTCCTTCCCCAGTGTGTTTGGCAATATGTTTCTTCATATTCTTTTTGTATATTGTGACAAATGGACAATGTGGGCACTTTAACCGTTCTTTTTTCTCCACAGGACTAGCCTCCGGTTCCGCTTTGCTGTTGTGTTTACGGATCATATGTCGTTTGAAGGTGCCAAGATAAGCAGAATTAAATGGACAGTGAGGACAAGCGTGGAGACCCTGGCCTGTGTGTCTGGCAATGTGGTTAGCCAACGTTTTCCTGTTAAACGTAAAAAAGTCGCATTGGTTACACACGAGTTTTTTCTTAACTTTGTCCTCAGATTTTAATGTGTCTTCAGTGTACGAAGTGAGCGGAAGAGTGTCTGGAGTGATACTATTGTCGTTGCCTGAGTTGGTGTTGCTGTAGCTGACACCGCCGTTGGTGTTGTTGGTGTTGCTGCTGCAGGCGGTAGGAGCAACTGCTGGAGTGGTGGTAGAGTAGGTAGCAGGAGAACTTGTGTTCACCAACCACTGTAAAATACAGAGCTTCAATGTCATGTTTGGAGGCATATGTCACCTATAATTTTGCAACTTCTTTTACAATTATGATTGTCTGTGCTATCAAAAGTGACATTTGATTGTATGATTAGAGATACCTAATTGAGATTTTAAGGTTAGGGAAGATCCTATTCTGAATTTATAAATCTTGAAACCTTGAATTGACAAAACTTTTAGAGAAAAAATTAAATTTAAGGTACCTATTTGAAAAATCAGTTTTCAGTGTTAGTGAATGTTTGTGTGGAATATGTGCATTATTAATGTATAATGTATATCATATATATTATGGATAAATGCATGCAGATGACGCTTAGTACAAGTGAGGCTCTTAATAATTTTAATAAATAATTTAAATTGAGAGTACAGGTAAACATAGAGGAAAAAAATATTGCAACAGTTGTTAGCAAGTACTCATATCATTAAGGGTTTTTTATATCACAAATTAACTGATAATTAATGCAAAACAAATAGCAATTAAATTTGCTTAAATTAATTATTAAATGGCACTTGCCTGTTCATTGGAATAATTGCCTACAGAGCCATAGTAATTCCGGGCACATGGAACAGAGATTGAAGAACCATGTTGCTGTTGTTGTTGTTGATGCAGTTGTTGTTGATGGTGATGATGTTGCTGCTGCTGATGGTGATGGTGATGTTGGTGTATTGATAGTGAAGTTGACTGTTGCTGCTGAAGTTGATGATGAAGCTGAGGAACAATAATTTTATTTTGGTATTTATTAGCGTTATCAGAGGCAAGGTTGATAGCCACCATGTTCTTTGTTGTAGGTTGAAGGTAGCTCCGTGGTTCATAGCTACCAAGCTGGTTAGTCGGCACTGGCTGGTGATGAAACTGTTGTTGATGCAGCAGGTGTTGATGTTGCTCTTGGTGTTGGAAATGTTGGTCTTTGGTGGGTGGGATATGGGCAGGGCTTGGAGCTGGCAGGAGGCTGGTGTAGCAGTTGAGTGGGAAATAACCTGCAATATAAAATTATATGTTAACTATTGGCCTAACCTATTTATAAATTATATATTAAGGGCCCACCTAAAGTATTTAACTATATATTAAGGATCTGCCTAGCATATTTAACTATTTATTAAGGATCAGCCTAGCATATTCAACTATATATTAAGGGTCTGCCTAGCATATATAACTATATATAAAAGACTAACCTATCACAGCTAGGTAGCTATCAGGGATGAGGATTTTTAATTCTTTCTAATCAGGATTATCAGGATCTTTCTAATTAATTCTTTCTAATTAGGATTATCAGGATCTTTCTAATTAATTCTTTCTAATTAGGATTATCAGGATCTTTCTAATTAATTATTTCTAATCAGGATTATCAGGATCTTTTTAATTAATTATTTCTAATCAGGATTATCAGGATCTTTCTAATTAATGTAAAATTAGAAATATACAAAAATGACTTAAAATAATGCACCTGGTAGCACAGGAGGCTGGTAAGCTCCATGGTTCTCATAGTATGGAGGCTGTGCCAGGTGAGAGGACTGGTCCATGTTCATGGTGTGTAGGTACTCTGAGAAAATGGTTGTTAATTACTACACAAAATTTTTCATCTGTCAAAAGTATAGCCAACAAATAGATACTATATCAAGATGGTTGGTTGGCTCATAAAGTAATAATATATCAGGATTGTTAAATAAACTAATAGTTTGTAGCCACCAGATAGAAGAAATAATGGTTGATGATGATATTTTTCTTTTATCACATATTTTTTAAGTGGAATATAGTCATTAGAAATTGGTAATAATTAGTTGCCAGGCAGTATTGTGTACTTTCATTGAATACCAAATACATGTTGATCAATGACAATAATTTCACAGTTCCAAATACTTTTTGCTACTCATTTTGTTTATAATTTCAAGTTTCTAGTAGGTATCCAGCATAAAAGAAATAATAAATTGCGCCAAAGATAAGAGTTTAATGCAATGAACACCACAGAGGCTGTTTGAGGGAGTAAAATCATGTTCATACAAAAACAATGGAAGCACATGCACAACTATGTGATGTACGGTTACTGTAAATAATAATAATTATTTAATACTTATTAATAATAATAATTACTTGATAATGCAGCAGTGCATTTCAATATTCTGTTGCCAAGTGTTTTATATTAAAAACTTGTATGTTTTTATTGTATGTTTTTATACACATTACGTAGTCGTATCTTGGATACCGTATGCATTTGGCAACCGCAGTATCCTGGATACCGTATGCATTTGGCAACCGTCGTATCATGGATACCGTATGCATTTGGCAATCGTCGTATCTTTGATACAAAATGCATTCGGCAACTGCTGCCGTATCCTGGATACCGTGTGCCCTTGGCAACTACCGCCGTATCCTGGATACAATAAGCGCGCTACAATATCACGCTTGGCACAAGAACAAAATCGTACAGACAAACAGATTCTGAAAAAAATGATTACCGATTTAATTATAAGAAACGTACAGCCATTTTAGAAAGTTTATTGCGTGCATCCTTTGTTGCACCCAGGCCACACTGGACGTAGCAGTCCCAGGCCACGCTGGACGTAGCAGCCCCAGGCCACACTGGACGTAGCAGTCCCAGGCCACGCTGGACGTAGCAGTCCCANAAGTGAGTCAGGATGACCCACACTAGGGGAAAAGTGAGTCAGGATGACCCACACTAGGGGAAAAGTGAGTCAGGATGACCCACACTAGGGGAAAAGTGAGTCAGGATGACCCACACTAGGGGAAAAGTGAGTCAGGATGACCCACACTAGGGGAAAAGTGAGTCAGGATGACCCACACTAGGGGAAAAGTGAGTCAGGATGACCCACACTAGGGGAAAAGTGAGTCAGGATGACCCACACTAGGGGAAAAGTGAGTCAGGATGACCCACACTAGGGGAAAAGTGAGTCAGGATGACCCACACTAGGGGAAAAGTGAGTCAGGATGACCCACACTAGGGGAAAAGTGAGTCAGGATGACCCACACTAGGGGAAAAGTGAGTCAGGATGACCCACACTAGGGGAAAAGTGAGTCAGGATGACCCACACTAGGGGAAAAGTGAGTCAGGATGACCCACACTAGGGGAAAAGTGAGTCAGGATGACCCACACTAGGGGAAAAGTGAGTCAGGATGACCCACACTAGGGGAAAAGTGAGTCAGGATGACCCACACTAGGGGAAAAGTGAGTCAGGATGACCCACACTAGGGGAAAAGTGAGTCAGGATGACCCACACTAGGGGAAAAGTGAGTCAGGATGACCCACACTAGGGGAAAAGTGAGTCAGGATGACCCACACTAGGGAAAAAGTGAGTCAGGATGACCCACACTAGGGAAAAAGTGAGTCAGGGTGACCCACACAAGGTAAAATTGCATCGGTATTTGGACAAAACCTAATTCATTTCTCTGAATGAACGAGTCGATGTCTATACATTGCATAGATATATGATTGCCGCCACTCAATCTTTGCATGATTGACAATTACACAAGCGTTCAGAAGATGAAATAATTTACTATTGCACCAATAATTGCAACCTGGACAATCAGATATAACAATCATGACCCACATGATCTCAATATAACAATCTTGCCCTTCGCCAATTTAAAAGTTATGTTTTAAAATAATAAATTAAAAGCATTTAATTAAAATTTTAATTTTAAACAAATATTAATTCATTTGTTGTTGAAGAGTTACGTAAAAAAGAGTTACGTAAAAAAGTTTAGTAATTACAATATATAGTGTAATTCCTCAGTAATATAATTACATTGCAATATGTAATGTAATTCCAGCGTGGCCTGGGACTGTTAAGTATGAAACACATGCTAAGGTTGCGATGGAAGTGGGAAACATAGGAATGTTTCAACATAATCCTACAGAATTGAGTACTGTAGACCCGCAATCAGGAATCAATCTCAGTTAAAAAAATTATTTATAAATTATCATTACAATTATTATTGTTTATTATCAAATTAAAAAAATTATTTATTACATCTGCGTTGATATTTGCATTTGCTGCCTAAAAGAACAGGCCATGCCTAAATACTGCAGGCGGTTGAGTCTCACAAACGTTGCGGGTGCCTTCAAGGGCAACATTTGGGGCCTGCAGAGTGGGGTTCGTGGCCCCCAAAACTGCGGTGTTATGGGAACCATGATCGCGGGAATGGGGAGGGAAAGATGAGCTTAAAGAGACCGAGGGGAAAATTCCAGCAGGAAATATCCTTGGTGAAACGCTTGGAGTAGNTTGAAAAATGTAGTATCATGTGCAAGTCTTTCACTTCAGGTTCCTACAGCAGTTTTTTTATTTATTTTTCAATGGGTGAAAAGTTTATAGTTCAAGCCACATGCACAATGATTAAAACTTGGCAACAATTTTTCAGGTGATGTTTAAAATTTTCAAAGTTTATACATTTCCTTCACTTCAAATAAATCATAAAAAACTTGAGCTTCTCTCTAGAAATTATTTCTTCACTTGCCACAATAAGAGCAATAAAATTCTCTTAAAATTCAGAATTTTTCAATTGAAGATCAACAGCCTTTGAATTTTCCAACAGCAGGAATTCTTCCAAAATTTCCTGTAAAAAAAACAATTAAAACCATGAATTACAATTGTGAAAACATTATCACTTACAAATAAACAAATAATAATAAGTGACATGAATACACATAACAATGATTTAAATAATACTAATAATAAGTGACATGCAATGTATATCAAAACAAGAGAAGTAATCTCACCCCATACATTGCTGGAACAAAATACACCATGATAGTGTATTTAATACACATACAATACACAAGATAATGCATAAGACCTAATAATACACAAGATCTGTATCAATATACAATAATACACAAGATCTGTATCAATATACAATAATACACAAGATCTGTATCAATATACAATAATACACAAGATCTCTAATGAGAAAGTTTGAGGAAATGATTACATGAAAAAATTATTTGAACAAGTGCATTGAATAAAGTATATAGTATTTGAGATATAGAACATTGTTATTCTATATTTGTTATATAGCAGCAAAATGTTTTAGAATATGGATGGAGGAGCCTACCATTTACTATTAAAAAACATTACCACTTATAAATAAATAATAACAAGTGACAAACATACATATCAAAGATATAAAAAACATAAATAATAAGTGACAATTCCACAAATTTAACACGTTGACTCCGATTGCTTTATCTTGTACCATTATTTCATTTTTTGTACTTTTTTTAAGCAGGGTTGCCAGACGGTCATTTTTTCCAGACAAATTCCATGATTTATTTTTTCTCAATTGTGTTGGCCAGCTAAAATTTAGGATAGGGGTACTTCCTAATTAAATTTTAAATACTGCAAAAAGAAAATAAATGCAATTTTTATAGCGGAACCTACAAATAAACTAGTATACATTGAAGTATCGGCCTTTTCTGTTCTCGGATTTGGCCAATTTTAGGCAACCTGAATTATGTACCACTACCTCCTGGAGAAATACATTTTGTGGTACGCATATGTACCAATACGTAGTCAACGTGTTAAGCAACACCACACACCAAAAATTTGATGTTCAATGCAACAAATTTGGTGTACTTTTATCAAAACTGAGTTTAATGTGATTTAAATAAAAATGTGATTTAAATTCAAGTGCTACTGCTCAAAAATGCAACAATTGAATATAACAAAGCTGTTTATAAATAAAACAGCTTTTTTAAATTATATAAAGATATAAACAATATTTTTACACAAAATTTAGACCTACATTGTATTCATTCAATACTTACATGGGAGAGGAGCTTTGTCCACCAATTTGATAAATTGAATATAATTTATCCAACAATGGATAAATTAAAATTGTGTAAAAACATTCATTTCCGTCAACACAATCATTGAGAAAAAACTGTATTTGTGTGAATTGAATGAAGGTGTATTTTTATGTATATGATGTCAATACATTATTTTGACACAATCATGGAGAAAAAACTGTTTAATGTAAAATTAGAAATATACAAAAATGACTTAAAATAATGCACCTGGTAGCACAGGAGGCTGGTAAGCTCCATGGTTCTCATAGTATGGAGGCTGTGCCAGGTGAGAGGACTGGTCCATGTTCATGGTGTGTAGGTACTCTGAGAAAATGGTTGTTAATTACTACACAAAATTTTTCATCTGTCAAAAGTATAGCCACCAAATAGATACTATATCAAGATGGTTGGTTGGCTCATAAAGTAATAATATATCAGGATTGTTAAATAAACTAATAGTTTGTAGCCACCAGACAGAAGAAATAATGGTTGATGATGATATTTTTCTTTTATCACATATTTTTTAAGTGGAATATAGTCATTAGAAATTGGTAATAATTAGTTGCCAGGCAGTATTGTGTACTTTCATTGAATACCAAATACATGTTGATCAATGACAATAATTTCACAGTTCCAAATACTTTTTGCTACTCATTTTGTTTATAATTTCAAGTTTCTAGTAGGTATCCAGCATAAAAGAAATAATAAATTGCGCCAAAGATAAGAGTTTAATGCAATGAACACCACAGAGGCTGTTTGAGGGAGTAAAATCATGTTCATACAAAAACAATGGAAGCACATGCACAACTATGTGATGTACGGTTACTGTAAATAATAATAATTATTTAATACTTATTAATAATAATAATTACTTGATAATGCAGCAGTGCATTTCAATATTCTGTTGCCAAGTGTTTCAAACTAAAAACTTGTATGTTTTTATTGTATGTTTTTTGTTTTATTCTAAAAACTTACTTGTAAATTTAATAACAAACATTGGTTAAAATAATTATAAGCTAAGTGAGAAGACCTGATTGAAGAAGCCTTGTCTGGCAATCGCTATGTTTGCAGACGTAATGAACTAAAATGATCGTTTTAAATAGTGTTAACAATACCTAGTATACGGTATTCAGTTCAAGTTAATTAACATTTGCACAATTTTGAATAAGGTTTAAATATTTTTTGACTTTTAAATCATGAAATACATTTTTTTACAACTCTCTAATGATCCCACTATTGTAGCTAAATATTTTAAATTAAACTATTTTGTCATTTAGAATACTCACTTTATTACTACAGGAGTGTATTTTACACAAGCCTATTCATGGAATATTTTTAAAATAATAGGGACATTGTTTTTCCTATGTATAATTGGCATCCATAAATTACCTACCAAACCCATTTATTGTCATTTAACTTTTGAAGCTTATACAATACAAGAATTTTTTAATTTAAATGGAAATCCATTCGCCATGATTTTTCAACAAACTTCGCGATTCTCAAGACAAATATTCAATAATATTTACACTACATTATTTATTTACATTTACATGAACATACCTAGTTTCCATTACATTTATATAACATTGTTTCCACTCAGAAAAATAAGCTTAACTTTGTCCAAAAAGTGATGCACTTTAGTGGGTCATCCTGACTCAGATTGGCCCGGCAAAAAGAGCGTATCAGTGCTACTCGTGTTTTGGGCAAGTACCCTAACAAAATTTAGAGGCGTGCGCGACCCTGCATTAGGCGCCGCCCGGGACTCGGGGAGCGCATAAATCAGGGGCCATACTTACAAAACTCGCTAAGTGAACGTAAGTACTTACGCTCTATTTTCTTGTCTATGATTGGTGGATTTTGCTTGATAGTCCGTCAATGATTGGCTGATGAACTTACGATCTCTTAACTTTTTTTGAAAGTATAGGCCCTGCTTCTGTATGTCAGCTTCTGCTCATACTCTCAGGCGACTCTAAAGTCGGAAACGAGATTCTGAACAGAAGCTGATTTAGAATAGAACCAGAATAATAGATCTCGTTTCCAATATAATAATATAATATATTACATTATCATATTGGGTCTATTATTATATATAATAGACCCAAGTATAGACCCAGTATAGACCAAGTATAGACCCAGGATAACTTTGCACAGAGTGTAGCGACTCTTCAGCCGAAGCCTAGGCGGTCCCCGAATTTTGTTAGGGAAAGTGTGTCTCTATTTGAACAATAAGACCCACTCATTTATCATAATTAATGCATTCCGATCTAAGAGTTAATTAAATTTAATTACAAAGTAAAGGAAAAGCTAGTATTATTGAAATTGAGAGACTTTTCTGCACTAGATGTCATAATTTATTTTAAAAGATACTCATTCTACAAATTTTTCAGTTAAAATAAGCAACTAGTGAAGAGCATCAAGAATGACATCATGGAGAATTGGAGATCAACATCATGATGATGAGAAAGATATAGGTAGAAGCAGTACCTCAACAAGCCTAGGGCCTTCGATGATGATCAACCTATGTATCCTAATAGAATAATTTCCACAATGGCCATACTTACGATTGGGTTGGAGCCTATAAGCGAGCTTCTTTACTCTCCAATATTACATGTTTTGTAATAAACACAATTTATTGCCTACAGGCAGTCCAATGTATCGACCAAGCTTTGTTTACAACTTGAAAAGTGCTGAACGAGTTAGTTACTCTCATGGGTACGTACCTCGATCACTCAAAGAGTTTATTCTGAATTTTTAAATAAATAGCGCAAAACACATTCATACAAATAAATATAAGTAATTTTCTAACTTCAACTATATATCGTTTACAACAACACTTTTTTCTTGCAAAATTTTAAATACTCAACTGGTTGTTGCCAGTTGTCACACAAATTTCTTTATTAAAATTCTAAAAAAAATGCAAGTGTAATACAATTTCATTGTCAAGAGTTCGAAACGAATCGTTATTTTGCTAATCCATCATTGGATGCAATCATCAAATAATCCTACAAATTTTCCTACATCGCCCTAACTCGCTACCAAAATACCTATGATGGCTAGCAAATTTTGCAGAAAATTAATTCTTCTTGGAAATAAATATTTCTACATCGTTGGAAAGGAATAAAAAATATTAATACGCCACGAGTTTATTAATATAAACACTAGAAAATACTGCCAGATAATTGTTCAGCGATAAGTTGGCATTTTCAAGAGGCCAGATTTATCGAACGTCTATTTTATAACTTGATACAGAATTGCTCCCAATAAATCACTAGCGTTTCTTTTTCTGCAATACTGAAGGATGGGGCTATTCAAAAACTACCCTTACTTACCAGATATTTAATGGACAAAATTAACATCCCAGCTTCAATTAAAACCTCTGTTTATGTCAGCAAGAGTGTCTGTCAGCTAATTTCTATTCTTCCCTCACGCATTAATTTAAATAAATTTAAAAAACATTACAAGAAAAACTATTCAATGTCAAGCGAGAAAATTTTTACCGCAACATAACCTTTGTTTACTTTTCTCATGTCAGAAAATTCCCTCAGAAAGATCATATCAGTTCGAGTGAAAAAAATTAATTAAATGCAATGAAAATTCTCATTAGAATTAATTCGCTATTTGACGATGAACCGAGACTAAGCAGGCAACAGTCTTCATCAGAGACTCTAAGCCTGACTCAGCCCAAGCACAGCACAGCCTCAGAGACTCTAAGCCAGACTCAGCGTAAGCACAGCCCAGCCTCAGAGACTCTAAGCCAGACTCAGCCTAAGCAGAGCCCAGCCTCAGAGATTCTAAGCCAGACTCAGCCTAAGCAGAGCCTAGCCTCAGAGACTCGAAGCCTGACTCAGCCTAAGCAGAGCCTAGCCTCAGAGCCTGACTCAGCCTAAGCACAGCCCAGCCTCAGAGCCAGACTCAGCCCAAGCAGAGCCTAGCCGCAGAGACTCTAAGCCAGCACGTGTCCCTAAGTCCCGACTCTAAGCTCAGCGCCTAAGCAAAGCCAGTCTTCATCTCTTGCTAAGCCGGTTGCCTGCGTGTTGGTGGGGAGGGGCGGAGGTACGTGGCCCCCCACTAGCCCCCTTGTGTCGGTTCTCTTCTTGGTGCTGAAGTATCGCTTGTGCTACTTATGGTGCTGTTGTTGCTGCTGATGTTGCTGTTGTTGCCAGGGCGGCCATTGTTACCACCGCTGCTACTACTACTGTTAGTGTTGTTACTGTTGCTGTTACCAGAGCGATTGTTACCCCCACCAGCACCAGCACCACCACTGTTGTTAGTGTTGCTAGACCGGTTGTTGTTGTTGCTGCTGTTGTTGTTGTTTTCACTGCCACCATTGATGTTGTTGTTGCTGTTGTTCTTAGAGTTGTTGGCGGCGGCGGCCAAGGCATACTCTGGGTTTGGCTCCGACATGTTGGGTTGTTCTGAGAACTGCATGCAGAAGTCGCCCACTTTCTGCAGGTCGCCGCCCTTTGCAACGTACAGGGTGAGGCAGTTCTTGAACACCGACGTGTAGCCTTTGTTCAGGGAGACTATGTCGCCAGGCTGTAGGGGGCACAATTAATCATAAAAATTATTGTATCAATGATAATACTATAATTATAATAGAACATAATTCACAATATTATTGATGAAAGGTTCATTTATATTTTGAAGGGAAATGGGTGATTATATCCACAGGCTGTAGGCAATATTAATATTTCACGAAAGTTTCATTTTTCTTGTACAAAAGGTAAATCAATCTTTTTCAGAGTAACTGCGTTGCAAAGCTATAGGTGACAAAAAGGTTCATTTATCTTGTACAGGGTAACTGTGTTGCAAGGCTATAGGCGACAAAAGGTTAAATAATTTTGTACAAAATGTTAATAAATCTTGTAAAAGCAAACAGGAAGAGAGACAATAGGTTGTCGCCAGGCTGGAGGAGACAATAGGTTAATGAACCTTGGTCAGACTGAATATTTTTACTACCTCATAACTGTACCGAGTGTAGGAACAGTCATACCTATGTAGTCCAACAAGGCATAATATTGCAAAGGCACACAGGTGACTAGGTTGACAGGCTATGTTGACATCCCATACCATGGGTATGTATGTTTAAAAGTTTCCATTACCTTAAATATGATTTAATCACCTTCATATAAAGGCCAATGTGAAGTTCGCCATCAAGGCACACAATATTGAGATGCAATCCCCACATTTAGTCAAAGTTTTTATTACTTTTCCATTCAAAACCTGCACTCCCAGCATGCATTATAGATTAATTAACAAATCGAAAGCAAGCAAAAGGTCTCAAAATTTCACCAAATAAGTAAATAGTCTTTACCATAATGGTTGAAGAACCAAGGCAAGCAAAAACAAACAAAGCAAAACAAGAATTAAATTAATGACCCAATTAGGTATTAAATACCTGTAAGAGTTTGCCAGGTTCATCCCATAAGCTGATGTTGATGCAGCCGGTGCGATCTGCCACCTTGCACGACCGAACCTCATGGTTCTCCTTGGTCAGGCTGGGTCGGGCTGAAGAGAAATACAATTCAGTGATGGGTGGATCAAATCATGAACATAATAACAATGAATGAATATAATGACTCATATCATGAATATAATGAAACATGAATGTAATGACTCATATAATGAATATAATGAAACATGAATATAATGACTCATATCATGAATATAGGTAATGACAAACCTGAGATGTATTGCTAACTTTACAGTGAAATGAATTCGAACATCATCTGCATCCTGAATATAAAATCCAGAATTACAAGAGCAGAAAGCAACAGTAAACTTCCAGGATTCTTATGTTAATGAAATTGTTCTTATATTTTATAGAAAAAAATAGATCTTGTTATGAATAAGCAACCATGTATATCCTTGTTGAAAAATGCAATGTATTTTTTAAATTGAATTGTAATTCTTAAAAAATGTTTAAATAGACCTAATTTGTTTGTATTATTCATTCAACTAACATTAATAGGAATACACACCTCAGTAACGTTGGTATTCTTAACAAGATCCAAGAATTTTTATGGCTTATTAGAGATAATTCCTAATTGCCAGTGTAAAAATATCATATGTATTGTGAATTAAAAAACCCAAAAGTTTGACATTAATTTTATTAAAATACTAACTTATGGAATATAATCCAATGCCATCTTACCAATTTCTAAAATTATGAAAACCAGTTTTAAATTCTTCATGTTGGGCTTGAGATCCTTGATGCAAAAAGGAGTCTGCTTGATAGGGGTACTTCCTAATTAAATTTTAAATACTGCAAAAAGAAAATAAATGGAATTTTTATGGTGGAACCTACAATTAAACTACTATACACTGAATTATCGGCATTTTTTGGCCTTTTTTGTTCCCGGATTTGGCCGATTTTAGGCAACCTGAATTATGTACCACTACTTCCTGGAGAAATACATTTCGTGGTACGCATACCGTATGTACAAATACGTAGTCACTGTGTTAATTAAATTTTTCTCATATTTTATAGAAAAAAAGTTGATCTTGTTAAGAATAAGTAACCATGTATATCCTCCTTGAAAAAAGCAATGTATTTTTCAAAATGGAACTGTAATTCTTGAAAAAATATTTAAATATACCTAATTTGTTTGTATTATTCATTCAATTACCCTGTTAGGAATACACACCTCAGTTACATCTGGGGGTGCTTATTCTTAACAAGATCCAAAAAATTTTTATGGCTTATTAGAGATAATTTCTAATTGCCAGTGTAAAAATATTATGTGTATATTGTGAATTAAAAAACTTGAAAGTTTGACTTAAATTTAATTAAAATACTAACTTATGGAATACAATCCAATGCCATCTTACCAATTTCCAAAATTATGAAAACCAGTTTTAAATTCTTCATGTTGGGCTTGAGATCCTTGATGCAAAAAGGAGTCTGCATGGCCTCTGACCCGGGTAATCTGAAGAAATAAATTTTAATTATAATACAGAAAAATACAAAAAACACCTGAAATTAACAGCAAATTACTTCCAAAATTACAACTTACAGTGTCAGGCTCCAATTCACAAAGAACTAACAAGGACAAACAGATTTAAGTGAAAACAGCAGGAAAAATTTACCTTTTGTTAAATTCATCTTTGAATTTAGCTTAAAATTTATCTTTCGCTAAATTTAACTTCAAATTTAATTTAAAATTTACCTTTAGCTAAAGAAAATTTTGGTCAAAATGATTGATCAACACATTGACTCTGATGTGCATACAATGGCTGGGGGGTAATTATTACACCAGGACATAGTGATACACAGGATTGAAATTTTCCTACTTGTTTCTGAAATCTCGTGGCTCCAACGTGACAAATTTTCAATACAATTAGAATCTCATGGCTTGATGGTGCACTTTTTTTAACAATTAGATAGAAGGTAATTCAGCTGGCAGAAATCTCGCAGTTGCAGAAATGGCGGAAAAGCTCTAGTCACGGACATAAAGGTAGACGTTTTCCATGCATGTTGGTACATATATAAATCAAGCACTTCAATTATCGTGAAACTCCATTTCAATTTTCAAATAGATTTTTTACTACATATTACAAATTTAGTCTTATATATAGTCATATATTTATATCTACTTAGCAAGTTTTAAAAAAGGATTGCATCATATAATAAAATTAATTAATAATTGTTTATTTTCTAGTACAAAAGCAATGAAAAATATCACCATTTGCCAATCTGGAATATCAGGCTAACTGGCTAAGTTTTCCAAAAATTGCTGTAAAACCATATATAGATGTAGTAAGTTAGTTAGAACTTCAAGTTTTTCGTCTTGCAACTATAAAGCTTTCTTGTGCCTTAAATAAAATTTGGAAGCCATAAAAAGAATAGGTAATTTGTGCTGCAAAATAATATTACAGCCATGAAAATTATATAAAACAGCTTATAAACCTGAAAAATGATTTATTTCAATTTGTAGGAAAGTTTTAATAAATTTTCTTTCAACAAGAAGTCTATAGGGAAAATTTTTCACTCAATTTTCCATCATAGCCATCATCAAAAACAGGCCATGGGCCTATTTCTTCAACGCCGACACTTCTATTCTATTCTAAGCCAGACAGCCTCACACACCACATGCATCACTCAAAAGTTGATCATCAGTCACTTGAAAGTTCATGAAATCTTGATAAGAAGAACATTTCATAATGTATAAATTAGATATATTTATGGTTCATGTTATAAAAAATTTATTACATACCTCGAATTGTCAGTCATTCTTCCTCTATTTGCCATACTCACGAGAAAATCGAATTTTAATTTTTTACCCAGAAATTGTTGGACAAGCGATTTGTAAACAAACAAAACATCAACACGATTGGCGTCCGCATTTGAGTATTTTTTGAAGAAAACACTAAAAAAATACCGATTGGGAAACATCTATTAATTGAAATCGATTTCTATTCTTCACATTCATAAAAAGTCATATGTGATTATGAGGAAGTTTTCTCAAAATGATAATTTCTGAAGATGCAAAGCAAAACTCATTAAAATACACACAAAACTCGAATCGAATTCATGGAGCCGCTTTAATTATTTCCTGATGAGAATAACATAACATAACATAACATAACATAGAGATGTCGGCTCTGAAGTGTAGGCCTGATGTGGCCTGTCGCCGATTCTTTTCCATTTCGTGCCTTGTTCATAGATGTCAGAATCGGCGAGGAGGCCGGGCGGTTAAGCACAGCAGAATTGTAGCAGTGAGTTGCGAGTTCGAGACCGCAACAAGCTGTGAATGTTCTGCGTGCGATGTTAAGAATCGGCTACAGGCCTACGGCATAATGAATGATAAAATTGCTATTATTATTATTTACATGACCTCATCAATTGTACTTTTGAGGTAAGTTTTTCCTGGAGTCCATATCATGCTTATGTCTTAATTTATGGTCTTATTCGAAATTGAGGGGGACTTGCGAATATATCAGGGGAGTGAAGCACTCCTAAAATAGGCCTAGTGATGATCCTAGCCTGCGCTAAGTGGAAAAAGAATCCTTCAGGATTGTGGAAACTGGATGAGCGTTACTTTTTGCCTCTGGACAGAGGAACTGTCGGCAGGACAGACGGAGGAACTGTCGGCAAGACAGACAGACTGACATATTTTATCGAAACTATCGGCATAAAAAATTTTTCANCAAACAGAGGAACTGTCGGCAGCACAGACAGAGGAACTGTCGGCAGGACAGACAGAGCAACTGTCGGCATGACAGACAGAGGAACTGTCGGCAGGACAGACAGACTGACATTTTTTTATCGGAACGATGGGCATAACAATTTTTTCAGTTTTTTATTATTTAATAAGATTTTATAATAAAAATTGTTTAGGATTAAGTCGGCATCCAATTTTTTAAAATCTTTTCATTATTAAATGAAATTCAATAATGTTATTAATTCATCTTTCTTAGGATTAAGCTTAATTACGTTAAAATGGTAAATGACGACGCAATGATGAAACACAATTTATTTACAACTCCACTTACAACATGAACACTTACTTTAAACATTCCTAAATGATAACACCAACATTAAATGATGCAATATAATTATTACATCATAATTAAATGGGGTTAATTATTAGCCCTTGATTATGAACGGCGAAAGAGGCATAATTTTAAATTTACAACAAATTATGTCGTGTAACATTATAGTGAATTCTAATTACATCGGCAAATGACAACAACAATCAATAAGAAGGTGACAATAATGTTAATATTAATTAATATTATTAATCATAATCCCGAGAGACGATATGATTTGCCATTAATTTTTATGCAAAAGTGCGTATTTTTCACGCATTTTTAGAGTCTCGTATTTTTTTATCGTGTTAAATATCAAGCTTAGTACTTTTTTACACAAAGAATAAAAAATCCACTGAAAAATAAAAAACCTTTTCCACATAAACAAAAAATTGTAGACAGATACACTCAAAAAAATGTCGGGGACAACCGCATCCACGGCCACGCACTAAGCTCCGCCCCTTCCGACGGCTGATAAAATTTTCACATCTCCCCGGGGTTCGCTCCCACAGCTTGGGTGTGTCCAACAATGTAATTACATCCGTTACACACCTAGAAGTTTCTCTAGAACATATGTGCTGTCTATAATATTACACTATATATCTAGTACAGTATTACACTACATATCTAGTATAATAGCACACTACCTACCTAGTGCAGTCGTCCACTATATATCTAGTACAATAGCACACTATCTAGTACACTAGTATTTAATATCTCGTACAATATTACACTATGTATCCAGTACAATAGTACACTAGCACACTATATATCTAGTACAATATTACACTAAGTATCCAGTACACTAGTACACTATATATCCAGCACAAAAGTACACCAGCACACTATATATCTGGTACAGTAGTACACAAGAACACAACAATACAGAACACACACACCGCGTGTTTTATTCAGATCTGACGACAATGTCACTTAAGTCGCCACAGCATTAATGTCGCCGGCCTTCAATGACAATTATCTATTTTATAAACAGAACATTTTAACTTAATTATATGGCAATGAAATATAACATATTCTATAGCTATATAACAATATTTATAAATAAAATATTGTTATAGAGTTGTTATAGAAGAGTGGCGACTTAAGTGAAGGTAACACACACATGAAGCTTATACAATACAAGAATTTTTTAATTTAAATGGAAATCCATTCACCATGATTTTTCAACAAACTTCGCGATTCTTAAGACAATTATTCAATAATGTTTAAACTACATTATTTATTTAAATTTATATAACATTNGAATCTGTATATAGATATACAAGACTGTGCATATAGATATACGAAAACGTGTATATAGATATACAAGACTGTGCATATAGATATACAAGAATGTGCATATAGATATATACAAGAACGCGTATATTGATATACAAGACTGTGTATATAGATATACAAGAATGCGTATACGAATGAGATATACAAGACAATATATCAAGTTACAGTTGAAAAACTTGAACGCAAAAACCTATACAAGCTCTTCCCTTAAGCTTAATTTAATATTATTATTATAATTATTGATGTTATATATACAGCCGTTATAAGATTAGCATTCAGTAGAGAACCGCTCTAATTAAGTAATTAAACAGAAAAATCAGCCCCTAATTAAATAATTAAGCAGAAAAAGAACCACATTCAATTCAACATACAATTGAATTTCTACGTTTCATCCATACAATTAAAGATAACTGTCTTAATAATAAGTTAATAACTAATCAATAACTAATCATAATAATCTAAATAATATTATGTAATGAATAGTTAAGTTTTACTATCCCTACATACAGGAGGACACTAGTGGCGGCCACTAATTACAGAGCTACTGGCCGCTATTAGTGGCGGCCAATGCCAGGGGTTCAAAATAGCCGCTAAGAGACACCAAACGAAATATTCAATTACACATCATATACAAGTGGTAACACACAATCTCCACAAGTGGGTCACAAATAAGACAAAATCCTATACAGAACAGCCCTATACAGAACAGCTCTATACAGAACAGCCCTATACAGAACAGCCCTATACAGAACAGCTCTATACAGAACAGCGCTATACAGAACAGCCCTATACCTGTCTCTTATACACATCTAGATGTGTATAAGAGACAGCTATATATCTGGTACAGTAGTACACAAGAACACAACAATACAGAACACACAGAACACGTGTTTTATTCNGGCTAAGGTTAGGGTAAAATAGCATTCTAAATATTCAGGGTAAAAATGTAGGGTAAGGGGAAAATTCAGGGTAAGAATGTAGGGTTAGAATTCAAGGTAAGGGGAAAATTCAGCGTAAGATTGTAGGATAAGGGAAAATTTCAGAGTAAGAGTGTAGGGTAAGAATTCAGGGTAAGTACGTATCCTATTATTCAAGATACATGAATATTCTGATATGCTAATAATCAGTTTTTCTTTTAAATGCCTGCACAAGATCCAAAAAAAATAAAATGCGGTATAATATCAGCTAATCTACCGACAAACTACCAGTGAGACAGGCAGTAAGTCCAAAAAAGGGTTAAATCAGGTTCAAACGGGTAAACAGGGCTTGGAATTAAGCCAATATTTCACAACGAAAAATCAGGTTTAAGAGGTTAAACAGGGGTTGGAGTTGAGCTAATATTCGATCACGAAAAGTCGGGTTTAAGGGGTTGAAGAGGGGTTAGAGTTCAACCATGAAGACATGTCAGTCAAGGAGTTACAATGACTCATAATTTTTAACAAAAAAGGTAACGGGCAAGGACGAAAGGGGGTAAAAATATCCAGTAACGAGAAAGAACAAAGGATTAGGGTCTGATCATATTTAAGGGGTTGAACAAGGGTTAAAATTCAATCAATATTCGACCACAAAAAAATCAGGTTTAAGGGGTTAAAGGTTGGAGTTCAACCATGGGCACAAGTCAGTCAAAGAGCTGCAATGACTCATAATTTTTTTTGAAAAATGTAACGGGGAAGTACTAAGGGCTATGTTCAGATTCAAGAGGTTGAACAAGGGTTAGAGTTCAACCAGCGTGCAACAAGGCCGTCAGTCAAGAATCTACAAAGACTCACTTTTAGGCAAAAAACGTAATGGGGAAGTGCAAAGGGTTAAGGCCATGTTTAAGGGTTTGAACAAGGGTTAGAAATCAGCAAATATTCGACCACAAAGCATCAGATTCAAGGGTTGAACAGGGGGTTGGATTTCAATCATGACGACAAGTCAGTCAAGGAGCTACGAAGACTCATAATTACGAAGGGTAGGTAGGAAGGGTTAAGGAACATACAAAGGGTTAAGGTCAGATTCAAGGGGTTGAACAAGGGTTGGAGTTTAACCAGCATGCCACAAGTCAGTCAAAAATATACGAAGACTCACTTTTAGGCGAAAAAGGCAACAGGGAAGGACGAAGACGGGTAAAAATGTCCAGTAACAGGAAAGAACGAAGGGTTAGGGTCAGGTTTAAGGGGTTGAACAGGGGTTAGAGTTCAACCATGACGACATGACAGTCAAGGAGCTACAACGACTCGTAATTTTCAACAAAAAAGGTACTAACGAGAAAGAACGAAGAGTTAGGGTCATGTTTAAGAGGTTGAAATTCAGCCAATATTTGACTACAAAAAGTTAGGTTTAAGGGGTTGAACAAGGGTTGGAGTTCAGCCAGCGTGCCACCAGAACAAGTCAGTCAAGGAGCTACGAGGACCCGTCGTTCTTGGGGGACGAGGGCCCCGCGACGGGCGAGGACGCCGAGCTGGCGGCCGCGGCAGCAGCGAGCTTGAGCTTGTGGATGCGGTGCAGGAGTTTGGCGCGCGGTCCTATCTTGTCCACACCGAGGTCCTTCAGCAGCTCAGCGGTAAGCAGCAGGAAGGAACTGTAGTCCACCTGGGCCTCTGTAACACGAAGGGACTTTAGGATGTGCTTAGAACATATATTGTATATTGTGTAGGATATATAATCCTGTCTTTTCCACCCGAGGTCCTTCAGAAGGAGCTGTAGTCCACCTAGGACCTGCAACACAATGTGACATTAGGATATGTTTAGAACAAAATATATGCATATTTTGTGTAGGATATACTGTAAGCTACCGGCCCTATCTTGTCCACCCCGAGGTCCTTCGGGAGTTCAGCGGACAGTAGGAGTCCTTTGGGCCTCTGCAAAGTGAAGTGACATTAGGATATGTTTATATTATTATATGTCTACATCATTATATTAGGATTTGTTTATAAGAAAAGATATATATTGTGTAGGATGTATGGTAATTATATTTTTTCTACTCCGAGGTCTTACGCTTCAGCCAGCGCCCCCCTTCTGTGCTGAAGGGGGGCATGTGAAAAGGACTAATGATAATGATGATGGTAATAATAGTAATACAGTAATACAATAATGATAGTGATGATAATGATAGTGTAATATTGATAGTGACCTGTGAACTTCCTGGCTGAAGTTCAGCCATGCTAATGATAGTAATACAATATAGATAATGATTGTGACGCTAATGATAGTAATACAATAATGATAGTGATGATGATAAAAATTATAGTAATGCTGACCTGTGAAGTTCCTGGCGTACTGGCCGAGCTGAAGCTGCTGAAGTTCAGCGAGGACGCGGGGGTCGGGGGTGAAGGGGGGCGTGTGGGGGTCTATTCAGCGTAATATGAATGAAACATTTAATTACATTTAAATTCATGTCATACAGCTACTACATCTCCAATTAAGTTCAAAATTCACAAGAATTCACAATTTTCAAAAAAAATTCCATAATTTTATTTTTTCATCAAGAGCCTCATTGCAAAAATAAAAAACATGATTTTTTTCATGAACAAAAATCGAAAAAAAACTCAGTCAAAAGCCCCATTAAAAAAAATTTAACCAAATTTAAAAACCTGGTTTTTCATTGACATAATGAAAAAAAAAATCACCAAAAAAAAAAAAAATAACCGCAACCTTTTTTGCCATCTTCCCTCGTGAGTAACACTACAAATGATCAAAATTAATACAAAATATATACAAAATACGACATAAGAATCGGACAATTCAGCAGAACATATAAGGGCAACACAGCACCACAATTATCAATTAATTAATTACTTAAGAAATGGCTACTGCATCAGTCAAGCCTGCAGCCTACAATTATACATTAAATACAAATAAACTAAATTTATATGATTTAATTTTAATTTTAATAACTATTGTTATTAATGTAGACATGTATATATACTCGCTAGTATAGATAGAGAGGCGTATATATATAACCTGAACTTTAATATACTTTGTACAATCATATATACAAATAAATGAGTGGGTTATAATGTCCAAATAGTGCACTGATACGCCGCCCTCTTGTCGGGCCAAACTGTGTCAGGATGACACACACAATGGAGGCAAAGGTGCTTTGATATTGGGACAAACTCTCATTTATTTCACCAAGTGTGGAATTTTGTTAATTAAAGAAAAATTAATTAAAAAAGAGTGAATATGTCAGAAAGTAAGAGGAACAACATCGCATTGTTTACATTAATTCAACGGGAATAAATTACGTCATTTGAATAAGGCTAAGGTTAGGGTAAAATAGCATTCTAAATATTCAGGGTAAAAATGTAGGGTAAGGGGAAAATTCAGGGTAAGAATGTAGGGTTAGAATTCAAGGTAAGGGGAAAATTCAGCGTAAGATTGTAGGATAAGGGAAAATTTCAGAGTAAGAGTGTAGGGTAAGAATTCAGGGTAAGTACGTATCCTATTATTCAAGATACATGAATATTCTGATATGCTAATAATCAGTTTTTCTTTTAAATGCCTGCACAAGATCCAAAAAAAATAAAATGCGGTATAATATCAGCTAATCTGCTGACAAACTACCAGTGAGACAGGCAAGAAGTCAAAAAAAAAAGGTTAAATCAAGTTCAAGGGGGTGAACAGGGGTTGGACTTTAGCTAATATTCGACAATGAAAAATCAGGTTTAAGGGGTTCAACAGGGGTTGGAGTTCAACCATGACAAGTCAATCAAGGAGCTACAACAACTAATAATTTTTAAGCAAAAAAGGTAACGGGGAAGGACGAAGGGTTAGGGTCAGATGCAAGAGGTTGAACAGGGGTTGGAGTTCAACCAGCATGCCACAAGTCAGTCAAAAATATACGAAGACTCACTTTTAGGCGAAAAAGGCAACAGGGAAGGACTAGGAAGGAGCTGTAGTCCACCTGGGCCTCTGTAATATGAAGGGTTATTGGGATGTGTTACAACAATAATACAATATACATTTATATATTGTGTAGGATTTACGGTCCTATCTTGTCCACTCCGAGGTCCTTCAGCAGCTCGGCGGTCAGTAGGAGGAAGGAGCTGTAGTCCACCTGGGCCTCTGTAATACGAGGGGACATTAGGATGTGTTTATAACAATAATACAATATACATGTATATATTGTGTAGGATATGTAATCCTATCTTGGCCACCCCGCGGTCCTTCAGGAGTTCAGCGGTCAGTAAGAGTCCATTTGGGCCTCTGTAACGCAATGTGACATTAGGATATGTTTATATTATTAAACTAGGATGTGTTTATATCATTATATATGATATGTTTATATTACTATATAAGGATATGTTAAATTATAATATTAGAACATTTTTATAGTATATATATGATTTGTTTATATAGTTACATTAAATTATCATTAGACGGCAGAATTTTCTTATTTATATGCGTACAATTGATGACCAGAGAATACGTCTTAATTTTCAAGGAGTCGAACAATTCTTTAGATAACGTTGGTAGATCAAAAGACAGATTTAGCAAATAATAATCATTATTATATTAGGATAAATATATAACAAGATATATATCTATATTGTGTATGATATATAATCCTATTTTGTCCACAAAAGGTCCTTCGCTGGCTGAAGTTCAGCCAGTGCCCCCCCTTCGGTGCTGAAGGGGGCTTGTGAAAGGTCTAATGATAGTGATAGTAATAATAGTAATACAATAATGATAGTGATGATAATGATAGTGACCTGTGAAGTTCGTGGCTGAAGTTCAGCCAGCACCCCCCTTCAGTGCTGAAGGGGGGCTTGTGAAGGGGGCTAATTATAATAATAGTAATACAATAATGATAGTGACGATATTGACCTGTGAAGTTCGTGGCTGAAGTTCAGCCAGCACCCCCCTTCGGTGCTGAAGGGGGCTTGTGAAGGGGACTGATGATAGTGATTATAATGATAGTAATGCCATAATGATAGTGATGATAATGATATTGACCTGTGAAGTTCCTGGCGTACTGGCCGAGCTGAAGCTGCTGAAGTTCAGCGAGGACGCGGGGGTCGGGGGTGAAGGGGGGCGTGTGGGGGTCACTGAAGTAGACGGGGTCATAGCGCTCCTCCTTGATGCTCAGCTGCAGTGATGACGTCACCTCCTCCCACGCTGTAATGATGGTCATGCTAGTGATGATAGTGATGCTAGTGATGATATATGATGGTGATGATGATACAATAATAATATACAAGGATGTATATCAATATACACAGCTGAACAAACTCCTGGCTCGATAACGTACTTAACAACGTTCACAATAACTCGTAAATTTGTTTAGAATAAATTGGAAGGAACGTTTTCTAAAAACGCTTAAGAAATGTTGTCTAAAAACGTTTCCTAAAAACTTTCAGGAAACGATATCTAAAAACGTTTTATAAAAACGTTCAAGAAACGTTATCTAAAAACGTTTTATAAAAACGTTCAAGAAACGTTATCTAAAAACGCTTTATAAAAACGTTCAAGGAACGTTTTTATAAGCTGCAGCGTTAAGCAACACTAACGCTGCAGCGTTATAAACGTTTGTTGCAGCATTAAGCTACAGTGATGATGTCACCCCCTCTCACGCTGTAATGATGGTGATAATACAATAATAATATACTAATATACAAGGATGTGTATCAATAATAATGTAAATGAACATGTATCAATATACACAGCAGAACAAACTCATGTCTGGATAAGGTTTTACAAAACGTTCAGAATGACTTGTAAATTTTTTCAGAATAGTTTAGAGAAACGTTTTTTAAAAAGGTTTTCTAAAAACATTCAAGTAACATTGTATGAAAGCGTTTAAGAAACGTTGTAAAAACATTCAAGTAACATTGTATGAAAGCGTTTAAGAAACGTTGTTTAAAAACGTTTAAGAAAAGGTGTATAAAAACGTTTATGAAACGTCTGTAAACGTTCAAGAAACGTTGTGTAAAAACGTGTAAGGAACTTTGTCTAAAAACGTTTAGGAAACCTTGTCTAAAAACATTAAAGAAACGTTGTCTGTAAACGTTCAAGAAACGTGGTCTAAAAACGTTCAAGAATCGTCGTCTAAAACATCAACGTTTAAGAATCGTCGTCTAAAACGTCATCGTTTAAGAAACGTTGTCTAAAACGTCAACGTTTAAGAAACGTTGTCCGAGAGTGTTTAAGAAACATTGTCTGTAAACGTTTAAGAAACATAGTCTAAAGATGCTTAAGATAAGTTGCCTGTAAATGTTCAAGAAACGTTGTCTGTAAACGTTTAAAGAAACTTTGTCTGTAAACGTTTAAGAAACGTCTGTAAGCGTTTAAGAAACGTTGTCTGTAAACATTTAAGAAACGTCTTAAAACGTTTAAGGAACGTTGTCTTAAAATGTTTAAGGAACATTGTCTTAAAACATTTAAAGAAAGTTGTCTTAAAACGTTCAAGGAACGTTGTCTTAGAACGTTTAAGAAACATTGTCTTAAAACGTTTAAGGAACATAGTCTTAGAACGTTTAAGAAACGTTGTCTTAAAACGTTCAAGGAACATTGTCTTAAAACGCTTAAGAAACGTTGTCAAAAACGTTTTCTAAACACGTCCAAGAAACGCTGTCTAAAAACGTTTAAGAAACGTTGTCTGAAAAGTGAAAACGTTTCGGAGACGTTGTCTAAGAACGTTTTCTAAAAACTTTTAGGAAACGTCTGAAAACGTTTAGGAAACGTCTGAAAACGTATGAAAACGTTCAGGAAACGTTTGAAAACGTTTAGGAAACGTATGAAAACGTTTAGGAAACGTATGAAAACGTTTAGGTAACGTATGAAAACGATTAGGAAACGTATGAAAACGTTTAGGTAACGTATGAAAACGTTTAGGAAACGTCTGAAAACGTTGTTTAATAAGAACATTTAAGAAACGTTATCTAAAAACGTTATCTCCATATTTTAGTAACAGAGAAAAACAAGTAAGCATTACATGCGTCGTGGGGGGCAAGCATGTGCTGATGAGGGGGCTGGGAGTGATGGGAGTGGGGGGTGAGGGGTTCATCCTCCCTGTTGAAGTAACCCCCACCCCCTTCGTGGGGGGCAAGCATGTGCTGATGAGGGGCCTGGGAGTGGTGGGAGTGGGGGGTGAGGGGTTCATCCTCCCTGTTGAAGTAACCCCCACCCCCTCCCCCACTCTGGTGGTGTGGGGGGTGGGGAGAGGGCTGCCCCCCCTCATCCATCTCCACGTTGGGGTAGTGGTGCCCCCCGCCCCCACCCCCTCCACAGGGCTGGTGGTGGTGATGGTGCATATGGCGGCAGCTGCTGGAGGAGTGGCCATCAGAGGACATAGGGCCGGGACTGCCTGCTGATGGACACATGCTCAGCCTGATGGACAAGAGGAGTA